GCATAATATTCTCCAGGTCCATCCATACTGTCCCAAAGGGTACGAGATTCTTCTTCTTTACAGCTGCGTAGTATTCCATGGTGTAAATCCCACAAAAGCTGCTATTTAGTTTTAAACTCTGTCTCTTTTTTATCTGTGTAACTCTTTTTTTTAATATGTCTTTATTGATTTCAGAGAGAGAAAGGGAGAGGGAGAGGGAGAGAGAGAAACATCGGTGAGAGAGAACCATGGGTCAGCTGCCTCCTGCACGCCCCCTACTGGGGATCGACCCCGCATGTACCCTGACCGGGAATCAAACCGGCGACCTTTCCGTGCACACATGGCGTTCAAACAATTGAGCCACACCAGCCAGGGCTGAAAGAACCATCTTATCTGAAGCTTCGCAGTGATCACACGTTAGAGATTCAGCATGGGGATAAAAGAACACAATCCCCTTTAAAGATAATACTCCGTGTTGCCTAAGACTCCGCACGTGGAAGCACGTTACTTACCTAGTCAGCCTCTCAATGGTCTGCATGTGAACATTACTGTGGGTTTGGGAAAGAACAGCTTCATGCTGAGCACATTTCAAACAAAGACCACCAACTCGGTCAGAAATATTAGCAGCAAGAAGAGCCTCTTTGTGCTTCAGTCGCTCTTTAAGATCTTCACAGTTTTTCTGGGATTCCGCTAAGTCTTTCCTGAAAAGAACAGGAGAAAATTCCAGTAAATGGCTACGTAGGAGGACAGTATTTCCCAATGCATCACCAGTGCTGTTATTTATGGGTGTGAACCTTATGAGGTGCTTTGCATACAATACCTTATTAATTCTTACCACCACCCTGAATTCTAGGTGTGATTATCCTGACACTTGGAGCGAAATGAGACTTGAATATATTAAATATTTAGCCCAAGTTCTTGTAAAATTAGTTTGCTGGTGATATTGACTCTCTTCTCAGGATCCCATTTCTATCACATATGACCCACAAAACAAAAATAAAACTACAAATGCGAATTCTAAACAGTTTCATTTAATAACGGGGTGGTGCGACCTAACACAACACCCTTGAATTGAGGGAAATACCCGATTTCCAGTGTTAACCTCTTAAAACTGATAGAGTAGCTTAAAGGGCCACAGAAAGGACATGGACCCTATTATTGTCAGTTTTCTTCACAAGGGAAGAACATTAAAGAGTTACCAAGTTATACAAAGAGCTGTTTGAAAGACAGTGGGCTATGGAAAGAACTAATATGGAACTTTCCAGTCTTAAGATTTCATAAGTAGCAGGTATTAGCTGGAAATATTCCGCTTGGTAAAAAAAGAAAAGGAGGGCTGGGGGGGCTGAGAAATTGTGTGTGTGGAGGGGGCTGTTTGTTTGTTTTGACTTAATGGGATTGTCCTTGGATGATGTTTTCCTCCACGTTTTGTCAAGTCAACTTGGGCAACTGAGCTTCCTTGACAGACATGCCTTTCTATACAATAAAAAGAAGCTTCGTAGCTTCAGAAGGAGAGAGTTGCCCTTAAGTTCCTGGACTCCTAAAGGCAGGCACTTTATCTCTGGCTCCATCTACTCTCTGCTCCCAGTTTCTATTATATTCAGGGACCTAGAGCTGTCCCAACTTGCTCACTGTCACAGAGGGGAAGCCAATGATTAAGACACCTGGCTGTCACACTCTCCCTCAACTCTTGGGACCTGGGGGCTTTCAGGCCGCCTGGGGAAGGTGGGAAAGATCCACAGGCGATCTAAGGACTGGAAAAGTTAATCTCATGACAGTCTGAAATTGAAAATAAATGGAGCTGGTTTTTTTGCTCTGTTTCAAAGATAATATCTCAGGCATAATAAATGTTCTTTTTAAGCATCACAAAGAACAAGTCTGACTTTCAAAGGCTTTATGAAAAGATCTTTGGACGTACGTTCCAAAGTAAAAGGGTCTCCCTGACTATTTGTGACAGGTGCATTATTGCTGCAATTTTAAAATTAAATGTGTTAGATAAAGAATAAAACTCTTACATATAATTTGAAAACTAGGGTGCTTTATTTTCATTATTGATTTTAAAAGTTTAATTTCTATAAGAGCAGCTAGTGATTCTTATTTTTATCAGATGATATGACTGAGGAAAGAACAAAACTGATAATCTAGTTCACAGTTTTTTGAAATATTTGGAAAAGGACTTCACCATGTTAGGCCCCCTGACCGCTTAAACAATGTGAGAGGATGTCTTATACTGTGAGCAAAATGTCACCAAGTCAGTCTTATACAACTAGCATTTCAGCAACCGTCCAAATATATTTCAAGATCATTGTGCTTTTGCTATGACTTTATATGGATGGTGATACTTTACCTCAAGAACCTCAACTGAGATTCCAGGATTTCACACTTTTCCTCATAAGTAAGTTTCAGCCTCTCCTTCAGAAAAGAAAGAGGAAAAAAAAAGTACATTTCTTCCATATCCTGTGTTTTATAAGCAAATTTTCATTATTAACATTAAACTCAATATTTTTTCCTGGGAGGAAAACTAATGTGTCCTCTCAGGAAACATGTTTCCTAGTCCACCAAAATTTTCTGTATTTATTGAATGGGGACCTGCACAGAACGACTGGGTCATAAATGGCAATTACTGATAAAAGAGTTTTTTTTCAAAATTGCATAAATGAGGTCTTTAAACAGTGTGATGCTGGGGGGAAAAATTATAGGCAATAAAGTCAGAGGACAAAGATCAGATCCTACTGGAACCCCCTGTTGCGATTGCTACGTATCGACACACAATCAATGTGTGTGTATGACATGCGAATGGGCGAATGACACAAGAGTGCTGACAAACCCCATGGTGACAGATCAAACTATCTACAAGCCCCTGCTTGCTACCCTTTCATTCAACAAATACAGACTGGGTATCGAAGGTGAAGATGCCACAAGGAACCTAGAGCCTAGGAGGGAATAGAAAAGCAGATGAGCTTTCCATTACACACAATCCATGCTAGCAAGGTGCAGAGAGTGAAATTACAGGAATCTGTAATTCAGCCCAGAGAAGCAGAGAAAACTTCAAGGAGGAGCTGCTAAGACAAAAAGCACGATTTCCAACAGAGCAAAAGGCACAGAGGCTGGAGATGTAAAATGCCAGGCGGAAGAGTGGGTAGAGATGGGTTCAACAGGTAAGGTTAGGCCATGGGAAGTAGAAAAATATTAAGACCTTTATTTAGACAGCTCATGTAGTCTCCATACGGTAGAGGCGTTGGATGGACACTGAACACTATTAATCAGATTTGAATCTTAAATCACTCAAGTGTGGGGAAAGGGAGACCAATAAAAAAGTCATTGCAAATACATAGGTAATAGATAAGCACATGGACCAGAGTCATCAAGCAGGACAGACAGAAAAAAAAGAATTTATAAAGAGCTATATAAAATTGACAGAATTTTATCGTGGATTAGACATGGGGGAAAAAGTCATTAAAACTGAATTTGTGAATTGAGCGGCAAGGTGAATGTTGGTGCTAAAGGTTTGTTCAGAGTTATTAGGCAGATAAAATGGAATCATAAAAATATTCAACTAATTCAAAAGAAGGCAAAAAGAGAGGAAAACGGAAACAGAATAATAGATGGAGGGGGAGGCGGGAAGAAGCCAAATAGCAAGATAGTGAATTTAAACTCAAGTGTACAAATAATCACATTAAAAAGGCAGATATTGTTAGATTGGATAAAAAAGCAAAATTCAGCTACATGTTTGCCACCAGAAACCCACACTAAATGTGAAGACACAAATATGTTCAAAGTAAAAGGACAGCAAAAATACACCATGCTAACACCAAACAAAAGAAAGCGGGGTCAGTCAAAATACAAAAATATACATAAGTGCTTTTCTCTACACCAGCAATGAGGACTTAGAAAGTGAGGGGAGCAAAACAGAGGGGAGGGGAAGGGAGGGGAGAGAAAGGAAAGGAGAGGAGGAAAGAAAACTACCAAGAGAGAAGGCAAGTCATAGAATGGGAAAATATATGTACAACAGATACAACCAACAAAGGGATTGTGTCCGGAACATATAAAGAAGTTCAAAACACAATGTCAGATGATTCGAAATAATAAGTAGACTATTTGAACGGGTACCTCACAAAAGGGGGCATCAAATGACCAATAAACACATCAAAAGACATTCAATCACATGAGTAATTGGAGAAACACAAGTAAAAATCACAATAAGATAGCACTACAAGCCCAGTGAAAAACTGACAATATGATGTGTTGGCAAGAACATGAGCAATGGTATCACTCGTGTTGCTGAGAGACGTCTAAACTGGTAAGCGCCACCTTGGAAAAGTTCTCCCTAACCTCCTCAAGGTCAACATACACACACGTACCTACCCCAAGACCAACAGTTTCACTTCAAGGCACTTTCCCAGCATGAATGTGTGCAAAGCACACCGTAGACATATAAAAGAATGCTCACAGCACAAACATTCACAATAGCCCCAAACTGGACACAATACAAATACACATCGACAGCAGCCTGGATGAATGAATTGTCTATGTTCATACTGTAGACCCCGCAATGAAAATGAGCAAACTGCCCCCACATTCAACTTGCATGAATCTAACAAATATAACGTTGACTAAAATGAGGCAGACACCAAAAAATACATACTGTGTGACCCCATTTACACAGTGTTTAAAAACCAGGCAAAAATGAGCTAGAATGGTTAAGGATCACGCGTAGGCAATTTCCCTAAAAGTCAAGATACTGATTAGCTGTGGGGGGTGAGGAACGACAGGAAAGTGGACAGTGGACAGTGCTGACGGCTACACAGCACCGGGAACGCACCTAATGCAAATGAGTTGTACGCTTAAAATGCTAACACGGTACATTTTAAAAGTATTAAAGTGTTAAATTGTATGTTTTGTATATTTACCACAATAAAAAAAAAGTACAGAAAAAGTAGATGCGTAACAGAAGAGCACCCAAATACTCACCAGCTCTAGCTTCCACTTCTTAGCCTCATCAGCAGATGAGGCGCTGATCCTCTCTGCATTGCTATGGGACAACGACTTCTTGGCAGCCTCCTGCACCCCAGAATCTTCACCTGTTGTAATCCAAGAATTCTGCAAGTTTCCCTAAAATAAAATGTGCCAGTAACTGCCGTCAACATTTCCCTTTACGTCAACATGCATGCTTGACGAATGGAATACTGATTCTTATCTGGGATGAAAGAGTTAAAAAAGCAGATGCTTCCCAACTACAAACCAATGATCATTTTACATTTTCCAGCTACTGGAGTCATATTCCACAGCAAGTACTACAAAGTCAAGTTCCTACCGGTACAGGCAATGATGTAAATGAGCAGAGAGGCCTGGAAGTCATGTAGTCCACAAACGAACTTGCCCCTTAACTTCTCTGAGGACATATACTCTTGAAACACACAGCCCGCTCTTAGTTTGCCTTTCATTTCCCACTTTACCTAAAGGCATGACTAATAATAGTTGTTAATACATATGGCGTTTACTTTGTGCCCAACACTGTTTATGGGCTTCACGTATTAACTCATTTCATCATTACAACAGCCCTATAAGTTTCATCGTTATCTCCATTTGATAGATGAGGAAACTGAGTCACACAGAGTCACTTGCTAAGTTACAGAGCTAAGAAGGAGCTAATAAGTGGCATAGCTGGGATCTGAACCCTGGCCATCTGGCTCCTGAGTTCACGCCCTAAACCACTATGCTTTCTGCCTTTCCAGAAAAATAGTTATCTTCAATAAGTAAAACAGGGCATGGTGACAATCAGAACTGACATGTAGCCTGCATGCCCAGGATTCAAAAGGAATGGTAGGGACCACAACAAACCATCTAAAAGAAGCAGCCATTACCAGTTCCAGTCAGTAGCTGCCATGTGTGAATGCAAACTCATATTTCCAAAATACCTTTTAATTAAAAAAAAAAAAAAGCCAGATATCTGGCTTTTCATTTGAAACATTGTTAAGTATTAGCTCAACATTCGTCAAAGAAACAAAACAGGTCCCCAGATAGAATCTGGTGAACCCATGGTCAGTCTTTCACCTCGGCACCTTCTCAACATTCAATGAAATAAGCAGCCCAGAGATCTGCATGACTTATGTGTGCAACCAGCACCAAAATACTTACATTAATTCAACAAATAACAACTGAACTCTTGCTAAGGGCCCAAGAATACATTACTACCCACAAGAGAGGACAGATCCGCACACACAGAACTCTACTGCAGAGTCCTATGGTGCAGAATGTGGTCAAGAATTCCTCCAAAGTAGAATTCTGAGATTCTGTTCCATGTTCTTCTGGAAGGGCCGTCTAATGCAAACATTTCTGTATAATACCTACTATCTTCAGACTCTGTGCTAAGAGCTCAGAGGGTAAAAATAAGCAAGACCGATCTTACCCTCAAGGAGTTTAATGAGGGAGACAAACACCTACGCAGATCATTTCAATTAATAAGCTAAGTGCCGGGCCAGAGGAGTGCGTGGGGACCATGCCGGAACAGAAGAGGGCCACTAAGAGCAACGGGAGATTCAAGGAAGGTTTTCTGGAGAAGTGTAGACACTGGTATGACATCTTGAAGGATAAATAAGAGTAAGCTGCGTGGGAAGGGCTTGCCAGGAAAAGAGGACATCATGAGAGAAGTCACAGAGGCGTGCAATGGGCTGGCTGCAGGGGACTCAGGCAATTCAGCATCACGAGAGGTAGAGGCACAAGGCGATGGGTGTCAGGAGGTGAAGCTAGATCAAATAAGGTCCTGGAAAGCATGACATCATAAGCTTGACCTTGACTCCGTAGATAGAGACAAACCTCCCAAGACCGGATGGCATTCAAAGTTGCCTTGTAGTGTAAACATAAAGCAATAGAGAGAGTGCTACTAATTTCCTATGGAGAAGCTGGAGACAGCATGGAGACCCTAGATCCCTAACTTATGATGTAAGCATTGTCCTTCTTTGGAAGGGAGTGCTGGGCTAATTGACACTTCGTTCTTTCACAGATAGCTCTTAAAAACTTGAATGGTATCTGACCAAGGTTTTAGAAACCTAATTATAGTTACATCCCTGAAGATCGCTGAAAACCTTTCATTTCTTAATTGAGGGGAGAGGTTGGTAGTGAAGGGGATGAGACTAGACATGGGAAGAAATGGCTCAGAAGTTTGCTACTTAAAAAAAATCTCCTAGATCTTTGAATGAGTACACAAGCCAAAATTTCAAGCCTATTTTAATATTATTGTAATTTTTGAACTCTCACAAAAAGCCCTCCATGAAGAGAAATTTTATAAGAAAAAGTGATGAGAAGTGAACATGGAAATGAAATATTCTTTAAACGTTTTCAGTTTTTAAAAATAATCTGCTTGCTTCTTTGACTTCTGGGTCATACAGACTAAAGGTTAAAGGTCACGTAGGCTACCATTCAAGCCCAAGGTTAAAACTCAGAGATTATGAGGAGGCTCTTCTCTTCCGAGGGGAATCTTTTATCCCCAGCAAACAAAGATGGTTGGGTCAATATTGACAAGCTATTACTAATTTATGCAAACAGGTAGCATAATTGGAGGCTAGATGGGTGGATGTTTGAGTCCTAGCTTTGCTATTTTCTAGCTTTGTGACATTAGACCAGTTACTTTGGTCACTTAACCACTGTGTACCTTAAGTTACTCATGTGAAAAGAGACATAATTACAGTGCCTTGTGTGGCTAATGTAAAAGTGAAATAATATAATGTAAATAAAGTGCTTGGTATAGTGCTTGGAACATCATAACCATGTAGTCATCAATAAATAGTAATTATTGCTATATAACGATTTAAATTCTTTTTCAAAAGAAGGCCTAAAGGAACACTGAAAATCTATATATTCAAATCCACCAAGAGCTTTCACAAGATCTACCATTTGTATGGCAATAGACTCATTAAAAAGAGTTCAGAAAAAAAAGAAGATACTTTCTTTTGAGCTGTTTATATTTAAGATACTCTAAAATTTCACTTGCATTTCCACACATTTTCCTTAATAGAGCAGCCTGCGTGGGTTGCTGAAATGCCTCGATTCACCCACACAAGTACAAAGTGGGGGTGACAATACTGGGACGACAGAACAGCACAGACAGCTAACACTGAATCGATACCAAGGTCACCTGCCACATCTGCAACAACCATGGCAACATTTGCCTTATATTCTAGCTCATGGGAATGTGTAGAAAAAGCAAAACCTCTCCAGGAGCTGGTTCTTTCTTTCACGGAGGCTGCAGTTTTCCTTAGCAAGTCCCCTTTGTTCCCAAGGCCAAGCACGTGTGCTATCGGCACCATTTCCTTCCCCCTCTGCGTTACTCACTCCTCTTGCCCTCTGGTTCACTTGTCTGCCTAATTTCCTTTCTCGCTTCACTTCCCCTTCTCCCACTTCTTTGCCATTGTATAAATACTGAAGCCTCTGAATAATTGAGTCACCGTTTGCTAAGTGACTACACATTTGGAAGAAAAGCAAAAGAGTATATTTACTTTTAAAATGAGCTACTTCTAAGTAGTTTTTGTATGGTTGTGTCATCTTCAAATTGACGGTAAAATAATATGCAACTAAGATGGACTTTTTAACTAATGATAGTAACAATATAATGATAGAATTATTTAGAAAAAGACATATAGTGAAGAGAAAATTGCTGATCATAAACTGAAATGTAATTGGAGAAAAATAAACTGAAATACTAATCATGTCTCTTCATTATTCAAAGTTAACACAATCAGCTGCTTCTAAAGAGCAAATTCTAACACATTATAAATGAAACCTCAACAATTTCACAAACAAGAATTAGAAGACATCTATGTAAAACATTAAGCCATATCTTTTCTTAACAGAACTAATTTACTAATGACAATTACATCAAAACCACCAAAAGCCCTTGCAAAGCAAAGCTGCAACAAGCAAGCATGAAAACTTCCCCATGGAAAGCTGAATTTGTCTCAAAAAGCAGAACAAGCTCTGATTAACTGCATCCCATTGCAAGAATGAAAAACATTTTCAAGGGACAAGTATCTCTGACAAGTCATAAAGAGATACTAAGTTTAAACACGATTTAAATACCATCGCGAGAATTAGAGAGATCATTTCATCCACTGTGGCTCTAAATGTGATCCTCTAAATTAGAATCACTTAGGCAACTTGTTAAAATTTCCTATTTCTAACTCAAAGACTCAACCTGTTAAATTTTCACGTTTTTTTACTCAAAGACTCAACCCAGACCAACTGAATCAGACTCTCAGGGGATGGAGCTCTGACAAGTATCCAAAGTGATTGTTATTCACATTAAAAACTGAAAACTGCTAATAATAGGTGAATTTTCTCAAATTGCCAATAAGCAAACAGAGGGCCCATGAGGTTAAGCCATGTGTGAAAGTCCTATAAAATTACAGCATTTGCTGAACAGCTGGTTTATTGGAGACAATGGGAAGACGACCGTTCTGATTCTCGGACCTTCAGGCCAGTGTTCTTTCTGCCTCGCCACGCTGCCAATTGGACTCAGTGGAATCCAGAGCTCAAGAAAAATTTAGAGAAATATAACAGAGACCTAAGTGACAGCTTAGAACAGTTTCTGGATTTAACAAAAACTTCCCATATAACATGCTTCCTGCTTTCAGCCCAGCTCTTTCCATATGGAAAAAGCATAAACAGTATGCTCAGAGAGGAAGCTGGAGCAGATATTAGGCATCACTGCAACATTTCATTTGAGGATTCATCCCACCCCAGTGAATTTTAATGTTTGAGGCCCCAAGCGAATATAAGCAGAGTGCTTTTGCCAAACTTCAAGGAGAAAATCGAAGCAGGTCAGGAGGCTAGGGAGGGGCAGGAGGGAGCATTCAAACAAAAATACAATTGTGGTTTTAAAAAATGCTCACAGATGCATCCAGAAGTGTTTGTTCCCTCATCGCTTCCTCTTGTCTTTGAGCTTTCAGCTCTTGTTGGAGCCGTTCATTGTCAAGCACAACTACCTGCACCCTATTTTTCATTCCAGAGAGTTCCTCCTGCAAAAAGCAGAAATGGATACCAAATACATTAAGCATTTTTAGGCAGTGTTTTTATTTGTTGACTACAAGACAATTCAACATGGTATAAAGCATGGAAGAGTTATGCTCTCTATCCATTTTCTGAGGTACTATAATTATATTTAGGCAAACAAAATTAGTTAACAAACAAAGAGAAGGCTGGAGGTGTGTAGTCAAGGGCCTGCTAATGGTCTTTTCACAGAAGTGTGTGGTCTCTGACAATTTTTTCTCCAAGGGATTAAGGTTTATAGAAGGCTTTAATTAAAGGGGTTATCTAAAAGACTTTTATGAATGAGGTAAACTGCTGAAAACTAAGGTAAGATATATATTATTCATGCTCAAATAGTGATATCTTGTTGAAAACTGACATAGGACTAAATAGTAAACACAGGTCTCTGCGATTAAAAGGCCTGAAACTTTATAATGATTATCTATGAACTGGTAGCCAGATGGAGGGAAATTATGAATGAAATACTTTGGTGGAGAACTCTTAAAGAGTATTATACTAGCCTTGCAGGGTGTAATATAAGGAATTACAGAGAAGTCACAATTAGAATAGCTGTTGAGTGGCATCTCATTTTCTGAAAAATGCCAAAAATGATTGATATATTGATGGTACAATACTTAACTTAATCTTCATTACTAGTGTAACCAAAGACTATTATGCAAATTCCATTCAATTATTTTATTCAGAAAAGAAAACCAAAGCTGTCATTGAAAGCTGTAATTTAAAAAATATTGCAGACTTCCAATTTTGGGTCTGGCACATAGTATCTCACTCCCACCTTCACAACAAGAAAAGAGCTGAACAAGTTGGAAAATCAATGACTCTTCTTAGGGTCATCAGAGAACTGAAGTCACAAGAAAAACTTTCATCCCCAATGTTGGAGAGACAGACAGGTGCTCCTGAGAACCACCACCCACCAGAGCTGAAGTCCATGAGCAGAAACTTCCAGCGGATTGAGTGCTGGGGTAGGGACATGGAATGTGTAACTGATGAAATGCTCATTGTAGACAAGGTTGAGAGTTAACTCTAGAGGGACCCAGTGTTGGGGGAGGGGGAAAATCCTACACTTTTGTGAGTTTTATCTCTAGGACACCAGGTTCTTATAGCAAACACTAGAGAAACATCCCCTCATGCTTCCACCAGCAGGAGAGGAGAAGCAGCCATCCTGAAATATGCCCAAAGCATTCTGTTCTTCTTAACTAGGCCTGCCTTGGGAGAAACTATTTGACCAGAGCCTAAGTAACTGTGGTTTTTTTCAGGTCCTAACTGAACTGGGGGAAGAGAGATACCCATCTCTAGCTCCCTCTAGCCTTCCTGTCTCACTTAAAGGGAAAAGAAGACTGTCAAACACTTGTGAAAGTCAAGGCCAAGGGGGCACAGGCAGACTAGAAAACAGACCTAATCACAGGACTAGAGAATGCTTCCCATGCTCCCAAATCTATCACCACATCAAAAGGGCTCCTATATAATAACAGGGGATGCACTAAAATAACTGCACATCTTACACCATATTTTAGAAGAATTCCCAAGGGAAGCCCAAAGACTAGAGGGGAGACAAAAACCAAGACACTAGAGGAAATTTTACCTCTCACACCTAGAGCAAGAGCAAACAGTAAACACAGCCTAACTCCTAGCCAAATAAACATAATACCTCACACTAAATGTCTATTTCCTTCCGTTTCTTTTACACAGTACATCATATCTAGTATTCAACAAGAAATTACAAGGTGTACTAACAGATTTAAAACATAATTTAAAGAGACTAAACCAGCATAGAACCAGATTTGGATATGGCAGAGATATTGGAATTATCAGATTGGGAGTTCCAAATAATTATCATTAATATGCTAAAGAGTGTAGTGGGAAAAGTGGACTACATGCAAGAATGGATGAGTAATGTAAGAAGAGAAATGAAACATCTAAGAAAGAATCAAAAGGAAATGCCAGAAATAAAAAGCATGGTAATAGAAATGAAGAATGCCTTGATGGGCTCATTAGTAGACTGGAGACATCCAAGAAAAGAATTAACAAGCTTGAAGAATTGTCAGTAGAAACCTCCCAAACGGAAATGCAAAGAGAAATAAAGAATGAGAGAGAACAGAATATCCAAGAATTGTGGGACAATTACAAAAGGTGTAACATGTGTGTGATGGGAATTCCAGAAAGAGAAGAAAGAGATCAAGGAGAAGAAATATTTGAAGCAATAATGCTCAAGAATTTTCTAAAATAAATGACAGGCCCCAAATCACAGGTCCAGGAAGCTCAGAGAACACCAAGCAGGAAAACACCAAAAAGCCTACACCTAGGCAAAGCATATCAAACTGCAGAAAATCAGAGACAAAAGGGAAATCTTTAAAGAAAGAAGGTGGGGTTGGGGGGAATTGTATCTATAGAGAAGCAAAGATAAGAATTATGTTCGACTAAGGAGAAAAGAATTGCAAAAGACATGTCTGATAAATGACGTACCCAAAATAAAAAGGAACTCCTAAAACTTAGCAATAAGAAAATAAACAACCCTATTAAAAAACAAGCAAAACACCTCAGCAGATACACCAAAGAAGATATATAAATGAAAAATAAGCAGATGAAAAAAGTTCATTACGTTGGAATTATCAGATTGGGAGTCTCTGTCACCAGAGAATAATTAAAATTAAAACAATGAGACACCACCACACACCTCTAATACTCTAAAATCCACACCACGGACAACACTCAATGGGGTAAGGACAGGATACAAAAATTTATCAGTAACTACTATAAGAATATCACATGATTTGATGCATTGATAATAAAAAATGAAAGAGAGAAAGAAAAACTAAAACAGTATCATACTTTTGGCTCCAATGGCATTAATAGCATTACTAAACTCCAGAGAGTCAAGCAATATAACTGTTCAGTGTTTCCATCCATAGGCAACACATTTGGTTTCCTGATCACTGTTATCAGTGCTCCCATGGGCCATTCTCATCATTCAAGGTCAAGGTGAGAACCTTTATACTGACAAGGGGGCAGACTTAGTCTAATAGCTTAAGTCCCTGCCTGCTGCACACCAGCTTCAATAGGTTGACAAATGTGGGGGAATGATTGGGATTACTATTCCAAAGCATCTGCCATCAGCTGGACTAAAGTAAATGGAGTGGAAAGAAAAAATTCTGAAACACGAAATCATATTATCAAAATATTATGCATACTTTAGTTATGGATCCTGGGAAATTAAGCAATCAGAAATGACATACTCAAGGGTATAATCCCTAAGCCTGACACACATTAGTCTTTCCAATCACATAAGCGTGGTGATTGTCAACATGTTGCTATAAACATGAAGACTAATAATAGAAAATTCATACAAGGCATCATTAACATAAACTTTCATTTAGGTAGGTTTAAATTTTGAATGAGAAGCTTACCTTGCAGAACTTGACTTCTGCCTCTAAATGATGAATGTATTGGGACTGATCATGGATGATAGGGATGAGATTATGTATAGTAGGCATATTGGTTTCCTCACATTCTGATGACCTCTAAGGAAAAAACAACAACCAAGCATGTTTGGATTTAGGGAAAAAATCAATGAATATCACTTCCATACTCAATTCAGATGTCATATAAACACAGACTAGGTCACATGCAGCTAATAGTATTTATTTCTCTATCCTATAAATTCCACAAATAGATAAGATCCAGGGATATGAACATTTTAAAGATGGGAAGTGAAGGTGGTTATAAAAGCACACTGCAAATGGACAAATGCTGGGGTCCCTATAATTGGCTTGGGATGGGCTGTCTGTTTGAACCCTGCTGAAATAAAGGGACAAATCCCTTTAAGAAACTTCCGTGAAAGAGAAGTGCCAGCTAAAATTGCAGCGCCACTCCCTGAAGAAGGGATTCATTAGACAAGTGTCCGATGCCAAGTGTGTGTCAATGGGTAAAAGTCTATCTTCACTACTACTCCAGCCATTTAAAGCTGGCCAATCCTTCCCGCACAGCTCCTTACACCCATCTTAGCCTCTAACATACCACATTGCTTCAATCATGAAACATATTCTTCGTCAAAGCAATGGCAATAAAAAACAACTTCAGAAGAAATGGAGTCTAACTTCTTGTATCACACAATTTTATAACCATGTGTTTTTAAATGTAGAGTAATATTACATACTTTGGTTTTGACATTCACAATAAAAGAGCATTACAAAGGATGGCTAGAATTATAATTAAGTAAATTCCAAAAAAGATCAAATACAGATATAACCCTCTAAAAAAGAAATGGCTAATCTTTTCCATACATTGTTCCTTTTTTATATTTGCTCATAGTTGCAAAGTAAATTCTCCAAACTATTTGCTCACTCACATTTTTCAAGTGAATAATAAATTTAAAAACTGGGAGTCCCTCTGGGACTCTCTCTTCTGCAGCTAAAATAATCGGAGGGAAGACGATTTAACACTTTACACTAGTAGAATGCCCTGCTCAGAACTGGTCTACAACATGTACTACCAAAATGACACTGTAAAGTGAAAACATAGTTAGAAAATAATGCTTTTGTTGGGTTGCAAATGTGGTACTTACTGGAGGGGAAATTTTTCGTCTTCTTGATGGAGATACCTCACTTTCCTTAACCGCTTGTTGGTACAACAAAGCTTTCAGTTGATTAACTACAGGGCAGAAGCAATGGGTTTAGTAACTTTTTTTGAGATCCATGGTTTATCATCACCCACCCATCCTTCCATCCATCCAACAAATATTGTTTAAACACATATTATGCATCAGGAACTGGGGATGCGAAGAAAAGGTGAGAAAATCTCTCCCACTGAAGAGCTAAGAATCCACTGGGCAAGAGTGCTACACTAAGAGATATAAAATAATATGAGTTTGTATGTAGACCTGGAGTCATACATAGTGCTATAAAAACAGGAAGCACCTAATGGTGCCTGTCTTTTTTTTTTTTTTTTAATTGTGCCTGTTTTCACAGAGGAGATAACACTGTGAGGATGAACAGGAGATCACTAAGCAGAAAAAGGTGAGAAAAATTCCAGAAGACATGGCACATGGAAAAAGGCATAGGAGCACGGCCAGTAGGTTGGTCTGACTAGAACATGTCTTGCAAGGTGGATGGTTGGAAGGAGGCTAGAAAAGTAAGGCTGGAACGGTAGCTTGGAGACATCTTATGGAAATATTGCTACGACATACTAAGAATTTTGAACTTTGGCCTGTATAGGCATTGGGAGGTCAAAGAAAAAAATTAAGCAAGGAAATTATATAAGCTGATTTGTGTTCCAGGAATAAAATCCTAGCCATAGAGTGGAGATGGGCTGGAGTCATTACTGTATGAGTTTAAAGAATTCATTGTGGGTCACGCAGGTTAGGGCTACGCTTAACTCACCGGCATGGCTGTGCTGTAGTTCGTGCCAGGCCGTCCCAGTGTCCTCATTTCCTCCACTGGTGCCAAAAGAAGGATCCAGTGAATCTTCTCCGGCAGTGACATTGCCTTTTCTCAGGGAACATTTCAGCTGGTGAATGCTTTCACTTGCTTGCTCTGCAACAACACGGTGAAAGTGAGGCTGGGGAAATCTGGGCGACCACGTGCATACCTACCTACTCAAGAAGGCAGTTTCTTAAGGAGAAGCAATCCTTTGGATCTTTATGGAAAAAGGCCGAGTTCTGTTTCTAGCTTGCTGAGGAATGTGCTAGAGGAAGTGAGAGGAGGTTAAGCTCATAGGTTAACGATTAGACTTGATGATCTCTAAGGTCCCTGACATTCACTATATACAGTACTACCGGCCTGGCAGAATGCATGGGAGAGCTCCACCCCTACCCACAGCCTCAAACAATGATCAACAAGTCAAAGGGCCTAAGACTCCCCTACTCCACCTGGGGACACTGGGCTGGGTGGGCAGAACTGACAAGAGGGACTCCATCACACCAAGCATCTGCCCAGGGAAGACTCATTGTCCCTGTGGGCCTCACGTCCCTCCCCCGCCAAGAGAAAGCCAACTGCCTGGCCTAGTTTGTCATCAAGATTTGAATAACTAAACTGCTTCTAGTGGCAACCTCTGTAGTATAGCCCTTCATATGGACTGCTGGCTGGCTGCATTTCATGTAGAAATCCCTGGTTAGTGCAACTGACCATCCCTAGAATTGAAGCTTAAACTCACCAGCACATAGTTAAAATCTAAAAAGAAGAATTTTAAGGCATATTACTATAGTAGTTCATCTCTAAAAATGGTCCCCAAGGAACCCAGCCCCATCCTAGTCTCTCCCACCTGGCAAGTGATCAGGTTTCTAAGGCATTAACCAATACAAAGCAGTAGAAGTTAGAACAGGCCAGGCCAGGCCTCATCTTTAAAAGGTCTGGTAGGTTCTGCTTCCTCCCTCTTGGAATGATTGTTTTTGTGAGCCCTAAACCACTAAGTAGGAAGTCTGGCTACCCCACTGGTGAGGCTATGAAGAGGCCATGTAGGAAGGAGAGGCCCTGAGGCCACATGAGGAGGAGAGAAGCCCAGCTCTGCTAACAGCCCAGTGGAGCCTTGAGGGGACTCCAGTGCCAGAGGCCATCTAAATGCAATGACGTGAAAGAGATCCTAAGAGCTGCCCAGCTGAGTCCAGATAACCCACAGACCTGTGAGAGATGCTGAAATGCTTTTAGTTGTTGCTTTCAGCCACCAAGTTTTGGGGTGGTTTGTTATACAACAATAGATACCTGAAGCAATTATCAGGGGAATATTAACCCAAAAACATTTTCAGCAAAGGATCCAAGTCTTGCATTAATAACAAAACTATACTAATGGCAGCAGTGATGACATGCCTAATCATTCTATGCTACTTCAATGGGTATTTTTACATGCATGGCAACTGGAGAACCACGCAATCAACTGGTTATTTCATTAATGAAGGTCCAGTTTCTTTTTGAGGTTTAAACTTTTAATTATTTCTTCTAATCTCATGATTAAATTCACTGGTTCCAAATCAGAGAACTGTAAAAATCTAACAAAAAACGTTCTTTGTACATTAGAGCTGGGACCCAGATGTCAATCACCATTTTCAAATTTTGACATCTGTATGTGAAAGTTATTTTTTTAACTCAGTTAATTTACCAAAAATTTACATATATATGTACATATATATATCAGAAATTTATGTTAGAAAACGAATTCCCACGCAAGTTCACATGCAGCTGTTATCTATTTCAAATGGATTCCATTCAAACAATTCTTAAATTCTTCAGAGGAGATGGTACTTTCCCTAAGTAAGAGCAGCTCCCAACAATGATGACAATGATGTTCTTATTCTTGCCTGATCTAGGCCCTTTGACAATTTATACCTATTTCTTCTTATGTCCTCAGGGAAAAAAGCTCCTATTCCTTGCTGCCTGTATGGGAACCCTAAGAAAGCTACAAAACACCTATGTTTTCATTACCAATTATCACTGGAAATACATTTATAAACATATATCCTACATGACCTTGAAAAACAGGTTCCACTTTCTCCAAGCTCATTAATTTCAAAGTATGGAACAGAAAATAAATCACCATAACTTAATAGAAGAAAATACACCCTAAAATACATTTTATATTACAAAATCTCTAATGTAGATTTTTCACTTTATAGAAACTCATTTTTCTACCTGGAAACTAAAGAGAACAGATCTTTTAGGTGAGGGTTCAACACTAATATGATGAAATGCTATTACTCATCTCCACAAGAGACCCAGTGACTTTATCGCTACATCTCTCTCCACACCAACCCTGTTTCCACACAGGCCTTTCTCTAACAGGAATTTGGTGCTGATTACGAAGCCAGCCTGCCCTCCTCTTACTCATCTTGAGTTTGAGAAGAGTCCAGAGAAGATGCATTCCTGATTTTAGCAAAATAAGCAGCAGCAGTAGTTTTCCAATAACTGTGTATATTCTGAAGAGACTTGTTAATGGACAGGGAAAATCAAAGTGTTACATGGTAAGCAATTTAGTTCACAGAGCTTTAGATTTATGCACTTACATCTATGAATAGGGCACTTCTCTCTATGGCCTCCATTAGAAAGAAAACACGGTGTGACTAACATTAAAAGTGTGCTTTGTGGAGCTATCGAATGACTTCACCTCTAAGACAAAGGGTAATTATTTATTTATACCTAATCTGACTAAAAGCTAATAAGCTATATTAGGAAAAATAAAGGAAATCTGAAAAAAAACTGCATAGTTGAAAGTCCCTATAGGTAGAGTTCTTTCATCAGATTACAGTGATAGCAGAGTCCGATAAGCCCCTTTAATCCCTTTTCTAATGTTTCTAATGTCTTGTTTAATCTTTTAGAATTTATACCATTCGAAGATGTGTTCAGTTGCACTATGAAAATAGTATTATGTGAGATACTGAGATATCGATAAGGGGAAGTGATATTTTGACGTTATTTCAATACTACATTTCACAACATGTGTCACGCACTTAGACAGCCAGAGTTAATCCTGAGGGATGATGCCCCGTGGTCTAGACAGATGCAAGGCCACTGCTCTTCAACTGGAGCCACTGCAGCCCAAGGCCCCATCATCCCGTTCAGAACACTGCCCCCCAGAGGCAGCGCCTGCTGTTTACACGAAAGGAAACCAGACTGCACAGGGGCTTCCACGGACTCCTGGTCTCACTGCTAATGGGCACAGCTTCATCTGCCTATAACCAAGAGAGAGCAAGAAAGGACACTCGTTTCCTCCCCTCTCCCCAGAGGACAGAAACGGTATTTCACAGTGCACCCTGATTTCTTCTCCCCAGTACCAAATACGGGCTGGATGGCAACTTAATTATGAATACAAACAGGAACGGCACCTCTGTGTCCCACGAAATCACATGAACATAAGGGTGAGTGAATAATATGTCTGCTTGTCCACTACCCAAACATCAGCCAGTACGATGAACACTGAGCAGGTTATGCAGCTGCTGATTGCTGACAATTTAAGACTGTCATTCATTTTTGTAATCCAGTGTCCCTACTTCTAACTCCTGGCTCACCACTAGGCCTCTCTTCATCAAGATGTTTTTGAACAAAAGGTAAATATGGCCCAGTCTAGGAAGGATCATCACGCATACTGTGAATTATTAATCTCTCCATTGTCCATCTGCGGCGGGAGATGTGAAGGGGAATTATCCTGGTGACAGGGACGGGGAGCCACACCCTGTGAAGCGCCCAGCTGTCTCTGAGAAAACATGCAATCACCCAGACCTCCCTGGGCTGAGACGAGAGATGCGCCACAGTTCTCCAAACAAGCTCAGACCAAGGCAGACAAGCAGAAACCAGAGTGAGATAAGGGATACATGTGTTTGGCCACCCTTGACTGGGCCTCAGCCTGGTTCAGAAGATTACTGTCACTGTTCGCTAAGGGACTGACAGGCAGTACAACCAAGATAAACAGTGCAATCCAAAATCAGACAAAGCCAGCTTTGTCAAGGGCAATGACAATAGGGAGAGAGATTAAAATAGTATATAGAAAGTAAAAAAATCTCAAAGATTATACTATCACAAGACTCTGAATAGCTGACAAATGTGCTCAAGTGGTTGGCGCCAGGAGTGAAAGCTAATCCGAGCAAGAATGCAAACATCTTAAGAAAGCAGTGTCTGGAAGATCATGAATGATGGATGCATGGATATTGGCAAATCAAGGAGATTGGCTAGATGCAGTGTGAGGGATACACCTGGTATTTTTTTGGCACCAACTGAGAGGACATATGCACCTGTCACTTTCCATTGATAAGGAAGTAATCCTAGCCACACTGGCAGCACACAGGCAAAATCAGCAGCCAACACAATCTGTATCCTTAACTAATTATCTCAAGTACGATTCTGGAAGAGCCAGGGCTGTGAGCAAAGCCTTACTTCAGGATCATGGTTTCTCAACCTCAGCACTATTGACAAGTGGATAATTCTTTTTTGTAAAGGGCTGCGTTGTACATGTTTAGCAGCATCCCTGGCCCTTACCCACTAGATGCCAGTAGCACTCTTCCCCTCCCAGGTTTGACAAACAAAAATGTCTCGAGACTCACCAAATGTCCTCTGGGCAGAAAAATCGCTCTGGTTGAGAACTACTGGTTTAGAGCAGTCAAACAAGGTGGCTAGTGTTCAGTCTTGAGGTGAGATGTGCATGAAAGTCACCACACTACTACATTGTAACTGCAGCCCCCTCTCGATGAAAAGCGGGCAGGACAGTGAGCTAGTCTGGCACAGCAGTGGTGTTGGGGCGCTTCTGGTCCAGATGTCCAGACAGGTGTTATATCTCTACCCACTGTGATCAAGGACTTGGAATTCATATTTAGCTTCATTTCATTTCAAGGCCTAACACATGAAGCAACTGTTATACTCTAAGGCCATTTTTCAGAGTGCCCTTAGGTGATCATTCCTTTAAAATATGTTTTTATTGATTTCAGAGAGAGGAAGGGAGAGAGAGTGAGAGAAACATCAATGATGAGAGAGAGTCATTGACTGGCTGCCTCCTGCATGCCCCTCACCAGGAATCGAGCCCACACCCCAGGCATGTGCCCTGGCCTCCTGGTTCA